TTATGCTACTTTCCATCATATCAACGGGTGGAACAGATTACATAGCTGCGCTTAGCATTTCAATTTTCAAATAATTCATACGCTGTGTTAAAAAACAACATAATACACATCAAGGTGCAGCGTGAAAGGCTCTACAATTTACATAAGACTGCTTAATTTATAGTTGCATTTTTTTTTCAAAATGAACACAATTCTATGTGACCAACTTTCGATGCTGTACATAAGATCATTTACTGATACACGGCAAATTCCTTTTCTAATTTCTTCAGTTATTGAGTTATATCGAATGGTATAAACGATGATCATGTTGAGACCAATCGATACGTGTTCCAATTATATTTTCATATTCATTCTAGTATTACTTGTTAGAGGCATATACCATCTACATAACAACAAATCACAAATGTAGAACTGTCGTTAGTTAAGAAAAAGAAATGAAATTCGAAGTTCTTCGAAAGTTGGTCACATAGAATTGTGTCCATTTTGAGAACCAAAGATGCATACATAAAATAAACTGTTTTTTTGTAAGTTGTAGAGCCTTTCTCGCTGCATCTTGTGATATATTTTGTTTTTTTAACACAGCATATGAATTGATTGAAAATTGAAATGCTCAGCGCAGCTATTTAATCTGTCCGATCCATTAATATAATAGCAAGTAGCATAATATGTAGGTGTTTCATTTTAAGTATAGGAAATGTCATCGAAACATGTTAGTAGAGATTTGTTTCGGTATTTTTTGTAAGACTCTTCACAACGCATCTTTTAAAAAAATTCAAGATTTTTATCATTTACCTATGCTGAGATATATGCAAAATAAACAGCGTGTATACATTTTGGAACACCCGGTATATTGACAATGGATATTTTCCCTTTTTTCGACTTCATCTCTTGCCATAAAAAGGTCCTCGTCGATTGTGCAGTTTTTATTTAGATCAATAGCTTCTTATGCAATTGTAAATTAAACTATATTAAATACTTTTGACTTAAATATGAGAAAAACTACATATTAATTAATGTAGAAGAATTCATCTTATTTAAATATTAATTTAATTTAATTTATCTTTTAGCCAGTAAATGGCGTGGTATGTATAGGGTGTACATGCAGAGAATACTCATACACACACCCATACACTCAAGTCTTAATAGATTCATGATCATTTTTATGATTAAAATAAACATCGTTAAATAATATTTGTAACTACTGTACATTTGATAAAGATAGAAATGACTTTAATTTTGATACATGTTTTTAGTGAGAATGGATTATATGTCATATATGCAGCATATGATCATTGAATGTCTTATCTTTACTACAAATACGAGTAGATCTTTGCCGAAGGATGTTCCGAGGTCATCAAGATCAGGTTGGCGGTCGTTGTTGCGAGAATTGATGAGCAAAAAACATGAAGAAAATCATTCAGTTTCACTGAACAAAAACGAATATTTTCCAAGATTGGAAAATAGTGTTGCACTTAGAATCAACGCTGCTACCAGATATGAGGAGCAACAATAGTATGAATGGATTGTATTGAAAACTCGATGGTAGAAAATTTTGTTTTTGCATTTTATCTTTGATAAATCTGTGGTAATCACAGACGTTGCGTGGTATACTTCTTAACTTATCAGTTAACCTTTTGAGAACGGACGTTTTTTCCTATCAAAAAGTGATTCTTTAGTCAATTTATTATATTTGATTACAAACAAATACATTAAAGCCTTATAATAATCAAAACAAAACAATTAGCTCTAACTTGTACTTCTGTGGTATTAGAATAAGTATATCTTCTTCGCGTTCTTTTTTTTTTGGTTCAGGTAAATGTATTTTCTTATCAAAATGATGAATAGATTGTGGTCATGCTAGTATAGGCTTTTTTTCGAAAGAAGCTCTTCCAAAATTTATTTCCTCAGCATCAGAGTAAAAATATTTCGTCCGTAAAATTCAAGTATAGTAATGTATCTTGAGTAAAGATGGAAGCTGTTGGTATTGCGATATAAGAAATAGAATGTAGGTTTTTGTAGATTTTCGACATTTGGAATTAATTATCAGAAATGTTCTTGTCTAATTTCTTTTTCTCTACGTTCTCTAGCATCATTTTCTGTTTGTTTTTATTTCGAAGTTTCTATCTGAGCTACTTGAATGTATGACAAAATCGAGAATAACTATACTATATCAATGAGAAAAGGAATAGCTATATATATAGAACAACTATAGAGATCGAGAATCTTTTGAAATATTCTCGAAAGACAATATATATCAAGAGAAGAAAGAGAAATCATGCTGTGATGTTATTGTCTAATAGCAGTAAACATAGAGAACATCTGAAAACGATCCAGGTGACAGGACGAACTAAACAAAACATATGCATGAAATGAAAAATGAGGCAACCTATGACTTTTATTGCCTTGCAAGTCTAATAGTTTAATGTAAACAGATCGAGTTATTCTCTACTGAAAAAAAAAAACAGGTAGTACAACATATGTACCATCATCCATAGAGCGTAAATTTTCATATAGGTATGAACATCGTAAAAAGACAACTAGATTATGTCGATATTTATTAATATATGTTATGAAATAATATTAGCTGTCTATGTGCTGTTGTTTTATCTTTTAGTGTTTGCTCACATAAAAATGTTACTTTTTAAAAAAGAGAAAAAAAAACTTCGGAATTTTATTTATATTTGAAACATTCGACAAAAATATTTACTTTTATTCATACCCTTTACTTAATTATTTATCAATTGTTTTGATTAATACTATATTACCTACTGATAATTTTGCACACAATTACTTGTATAATCTCTTGTTAGATAATCAGAATGAACAGTTTATTGACTGTAAACTCTATTGCATTTGTAATCCTAATGAAATATTACCCAAACTTTATAAAACAATATGTTTCACCGTGAATTTTTATTGTTTTCTTTCTAATGGAAAAACAAAGATTCGAAGGTGTAATTCACATGGTAACACAAACAATAATCAATAAGTAACAATAAGACAAAACTATTTTGATTCAATATGATATTAGATTAATGGTTATCTTCTTCTAAAGAAATGAGAATATTAGCTAATATATATATGTTCTAATTTTTGATAATTTATCCATAATCTTCTATAGATTTTTATTAAATATAAATATAGTATTTCGAATAAGTTCAAAGATGAGCGAATCGAATAAAACATTTTTCAGTACAAAGAAATACCAAAACAAAAACTAATCAATCATAAATAATGTTAAAAAGAATAATGAAAAGTTTTAAAATCAACATTTAATCTATGAAGTCACCTGAGGACGATAAACATTCTTTGAAAATAATTATTTCATTCAGTTTCCAATGCTGTCACTAAGAGCTTTTTGATCATACATAAAGATTCATTGCAATATATGTTTTTGAAATACTAGAAAGTTTCAATTTGATGTATTGTCTTCTTTTTCGAATTAAATATTAAAAATTCATTAAGAGTATGCAACTAAAAAGTTTTTTTTGTTTCTTCAATAACAGTCAATATTCTTTGTAACTTTTTTTTTTCGAATATGAAATCTATTCGTATGAAAGTAATCAATTTCTGCCTTATTTCAATATACAATATATTATTAATTCTACTGTATTATTGTTTATTATAACGATGTAAAAATATAGGAGATTTTGTCGAGAAACAATATAAGACTCTGCTAATAATATTCTTTCGTCTCAATTTCCACTTATGAGTTGAAGACGGATGCTACAAGTTTCTTATTACGATAAAGATCGAGTTAATATTACGTATATTGTTATGAGAGCAAGACCATATTTCATGTATGCTTGTTTGTATCTATCTAATCTAGTACTCGTTTGTAACTAATCGGCCCTTTTGTTTTTATTGATATAGAATTTAATTTCAAATAGTTTTTCTCGTATTCTTGATAGATTTATTGAAGCAAAAAAAATAGTTTAATCTGCATGAGACTTTGTCTATTCGATAATTCACACTGATCAAATATTGGCTGGTAAACAAAACTAAAAACCTGAAATTATTTCAAATTTTGGCGAGAATAATTAAACAATAATTAGAACATTCAAAATACGAGATACAATAACCTTGAAATCTAAAATTCAACTATTATTATTATTATTATTATTGAAATAAAAACAAAAAATGATATGATAATTGATCACCATTCTTGTATATTCTAAATGCCTGAAATATATTCCTAATAATCAATATTAAATAATTAATAAGAACAATTATCTAAATAAAATCGATTTAATCAAACATCACAAAAGTCTCAGTTTATTCGGAATAATTTATCATTCATTATGAGCATCAGTCGGCCCTTCCAATTCATCTTTGACTTATATGATGATGATAATTCTTCTAGGTAGATTCGAACTCGTATCCTTCTGTTTTTTTAATCAATTTCATCTGAGTTATTTGCAAGTACCAAATCCATTCAACTAAATATTCACAATGAAAATACTTACGAATGAACTCTATTTATATCCTCTATAGCATATATCATTTGAATATATAGATGCTAAAACAAAAACAAAGGAGGACACTCTTGTCCATCCAATATGATTTCATCATCAGCGACTAAAATCATCATAAAATAAATCATATAGTGAATTATACAAATAAATTTTGAAGAGAAAGAGAATGAAATGAACAAACACAAATAACAATTGATGAGACAGACGAGATTTTGTGTATATCGTCGACATTTGTATGGTTTGCAAAGAAACAAAAAAAAAACAATCATTGTCTTCTAAGGAAAACACATAGACATAGATAATAAGTAATCATTTTCGTTGTTCTCTGTACATATAACATTAGAACAAGACGAAGAGAAGAATAAATCAATCATGCCTATAAATAATGATAAAAAAAAGAAAAAGAAAAAAAAAATGTTCTTCGATTCCAATGATGACTTACAAAACATCATGGATTCTTTTATAAAGTTTTTTTTTTTTCGAAATAAAAAAAAAAGCTTTTTCTTTTCTATTATTTTGCTTACCTTAAGAAGAAGGTGCAGTTGATGAACTGCTACCATTTGTTGTATTTGTTGCTGTTGAACCAATTCCATTTGCTCCACTATTCCATTGTTGTGCATAAGCTGCCCAAGGATTATTAGCAGACATCATCATAGCGGCGGCAGCAGCAGCTTGAGCTGCAGCAGTTGAATTAGCTGACGATGTATTTGTATTGGATCCTGATGTTGAAGATGAACCAGGCTAAAACAATTATTTACAAGAATGAAATTAGATAGAACTGTACATAGTCTGACAAGGGAAATCCAACAACTTTATAAATCATGTGGATTCTCATAAACTATGAATATTTGGTAAAGAGCTTGAAACTTTTGCCTATTGTTGCGAAGATACTACACATTGATGGCATTTTTTAAATCAATACCATGGTGGAGAAAAACTGATTTTCGACTTGAAAATTTGTATAGAGACAGATGTTATCAAGAAAAGTTCATTATGGTGTGTTCTCGATCTTTTGATTTACTCCTATTCTGAAATATGAACAATGTAAAAGATACGGTTTCATTATAGACATATCCTAGGATAGGAACAATGAAGATGTCTGAAACTTTTCTAGGTCAGTTCCGTCTCTATGGAAAGTTTCAAGTCGAAATTTACAAAAATAAATTTTTCTATTCCCACAGTATTCATTTAAAAAGTATTATTAAATTGTAGTATCTCACGAGGGAACCGCCCGAAGTGATTCAAAGCTTTTGAGCCGATATTTTGCCGATAAGTAGAGCCCAATGAGACTAGAAAAAGTCCAAAAGGACAAGGGCCCATGGGCCTTTCTTCTCGAGTTATGGTCATTTTACTGGGTTTATCACCTATGATACGATATTCACCGAAAAATCAAATTAAGGAGTTTCGACCTGAAATTTTGCCCGCATGTAGATCTTGTGGCCCATATATTAGCCTGAAAGTTTAAGCCAAAACGAACGCACTGTTCTCGAAATATTAAGTTTTCAAGAAAAGTCGATTCTTTTGGTATGTATGCAACATGGCACTATTTTCTTGAGGTTGCAATATCTCGAGAATGGCGCTTTAGTTTTGGCTTAAACTTTCAGGCTAATATACTGGTCACAAGATCTACATGTGGGCAAAATTTCAGGTCGAAACTCCTTAATTTGATTTTTCGGTGAATATCGTATCATAGGTGATAAACCCAGTAAAATGACCATAACTCGAGAAGAAAGGCCCATGGGCCCTTGTACTTTTGGGCTTTTTCTAGTCTCATTGGGCTCTACTTATCGGCAAAATATTGGCTTAAAAGCTTTGAATCACTTCGAGCGGTTCCCTCGTAAGTGAAAATCTTGAGTAACACATGTTCCATGACGCTTTCGATTTATTTTATCAGCCCACTTGTTTTGAGCTCCAAACAGTGCTATCGAAAAAAATGCATGAAAATTCCAGTAAAACTTCTAATTCACGTTGCTTTTAGTCTTAAAATAATAGAGTGTAGGCATTTTCTGGAAAGGAGATTTTTGCTGAAATCCAAAATATTCATTGAAATACTGTTGCTAATTCATTGTGAGCGGCAATGAATTGGTTTCATTTTACATTCATCTCGTGGAACTAATTCAGTACTACATAATGAGATATTTTGCAAACGTGTGACATATGACATAGATGAGTTATTTGACATCTAAAAAAATATATCTACAATATCAACATATTTGAAATACCGAGTGACCTAAAAGATACTTGGTTCGACTCGATTCTTGCAATATTTTCTATTGAAATAGAAGCGAATTAGAGATTCTGAAATCACTTGAAGAGACTGATTGAGCATCAGTCAAAACGTGTCATAATCGTTTTCTCTATATACCCCACACGCAAATTCTACGAATCATTAGTTAAATAAATAAGGGTGCGGGTATTAGTCAGAAGAAGACACTTGCTCAAGCCCAAATATTCACATCCATACCCACACTCACACCCACACCAACCCACACTCACCACCCCACGCACTCACACCTACAGCCACACCCACACCCACACACCCACAGCCACAGCCACACCCACACCCACACACCCACAGCCACACCTACACCCACACACCCACACCCAAAATCAAAGATATTACTCTCATCAAGCTTGACTCAAGTATGAGCCAGATGAGAGAGAACTATGTTCGATAATTATTAGATGAGTTTGATCCAGTCATTATGCCTTATAGGGATTTACATGAATTAATATCGAGTTCCCGCACAAATTACATATTTCAAAAGACAGTCATTTCAGGACCTAGTCAGTTCTACACTTCGTCCAAAGTATAACTGCAGTAGTGTCAACTCTATGCTAAGAAATCATGTTCTCAGATGCGCAGTCATCATAATACCAAAGTAGACCGCAAATAGGGATGGATATCGATCTGCCAATCGGTTCGCTATCATACAGAAATAATGGCATCTTTAGATACTTTGCCATATTTCTTTGCTTGATTTATAGCAATAACACTCAAGTTAAGCATTACTAATTAGTGGAACGGATATCCTAATTAGCTTTCTGACGACCCATAATGGAAAAAAAAGACTAGAAGTTGCTTGACGAAATTTCTTTTATTTTCATGGGGGTGAAAAAAAACAGAAAATGTTAATTATCTTGACTTCGTACTTTTGATAACTGAAGATTACCTAACGAAAGAAACTTATTTCAAAACATATATATATAAACAGAAATGATTAGAAAAAACACAGTCAATGTCGATTGAACTTTGTTACTTGAACTTGTTCGAACTTGATAGTCGGTCACAAGAGGATAATTGACTGGTGGTGGTGGAATTTTATCAGCAGCTACATTGAATACTGCTATCATACCTGCTTCCATATCCCAAGCAATATGACAATGAAACAACCATGAACCCGGATTATTGGTAATGAATCCGATGACTATGTAAGATAATTCAGGCACTTGTTCCGTATCCCGATAGGGTGGATTGATAAAGTTGAGTGTGTGTCGATCGCGTACGGGATCAAATACGGTTTGCTCACCAGTACCAGAGGCATTGTATTTGCCCACACCGAGCACATAAAAAGAATGACCATGAAGATGAAATGGGTGACCAAAATCTTGAAAGTTATTCACAACAATCATGACATGATCATTCAGTTTCAAATTGAATACATTGGGCAAAGTCGTTTGTTGAACACCACGTATGTACATTGTATACAATGTTGGTTCAAATGACATTTTATTAATTACCGAATTGATTGTACAACGATGATCTTGGGGTAGACAAGTGACATTAACAGTCAACGTTTCGTTAAAAGCTGGTGGTTTAAGTGAGAAGTCAGTGTTGACATTAGTCGGTACGAGTGACATAGAATTGAGCAAGAAAGTTTGATTCGGTGGAAGAGGCGACTGTGGTGGTTCGGCAGTTCCGTTTCTTGTATCATTGTAATGCAGAATAGCATAGAATTGATTGTTATCGTTTGCGGTAATAGCTGCACGAATCCAGTGAACACCTAAGGTGGATCGTTGATTCATAGTGACAAGAACATCGTATCGTTGGCCGATGTAAATCCAGAGTTGTTGAACTTTGTATGGTTCGACGTACACACCATCGATAGCGATTACCGTTAACTCGTGATTATCTATAGAAAATTTGTAATTGAATTCGCTGCCAGCAGCAATCAGACGAAATCGATAGGTTTCATTGTAGATCACAGTGAAACGCTCATAAGGCCGATTCGGAACACATAGAAGTTTATCACCAAGTTGATTCTGTTCTTGTTCTGTCATATTAAGCAAGAGTAGTGGTTGATCAATCAGTGAACAATTGTGGCGACCTTTCCCATTCATAACACCAGATAGAAACTGCGGAAATTTGTGATGATGTTCCGTTGGATGAATGGAAAGGATATCAAATTGATCGATGGCATAGCGATGAAACCATTCAGTCATGATAAGGGGAAGGTCAGGAAACTTTTTATACGGATCATTCGGATCCTCGATGATGAGAATACCATAGAGACCATCAGCATATTGAGCTCCAGTATGTGAATGATACCAATGTGTACCAACGGGGTTGGCCACGAATGTATAGTTGAATGAATGAAGCGGTAGAATTGGATATTGTGTTGTATAAGACACTCCATCCATCCATGGAGTGTATAATTGATGAATACCATGCCAATGTATCGAAGTTATTTCGGTATGTAGTCCGTTGTGAACAATGACTTCAATGATATCATTCTTTTGAGCCCGAATAGTCGGTCCAGGAAATTTGAATTCGTTTGAACCATCATCAATTGAAATGACTGTACGATAAACTCCATCTGGATTGTATGCTGCATAGTGAAGTGTCCATTCATGTCGTATATGAGCGGCATGTGATAAATTCGAAACAGTGAGCAGAAAGATCCATGTGAAAAATATCGCATACATTGTGTTATATATCTGCAATGGATAGGATCAAATATATACAAAAGTATATAGAATTTCTATAGCAAACAATAACACTATGATCATGTTTTTGCTTTGTTCTCGCCGTTTTTATACACCTTTACTTAACCTTCTCGCATGCTGGCTAAAAGCTGAAAAGGTATTCAGAAGGATCTCTTTGTCAACAAATGATGCGACAACATAGGTCTATTACTTCCTTTCTGTATGACGTTATTAACGAGAAAAAAACAAGATTTCGAACTTCGAACTCAAAACATAATCGAAATGAATATTTAGATAAGTATTTAAAACTAAGCTGATAAGAAAGGGAAAAAACCGCCTACATCAGCAGTTTATACATTGTGGTGGCGTGTTGTCATAATTACTCATTGAGCGCATACTACGAAAGAAGAATAATCATAAAAAGATGGATTGATGATAAAATGTCACTGCAGAATGTTGCATTCGTAGTTACAGCTTGGTCAACAAGTGTTTATCTCGGAAAAAAAATTATAAGCTTTCTGTTCGATGAAAAGTAATGATATTTGAGAGTTTCAGCCAATGTAAGTGATAAGAATTTTAAGTGCATAAAAAAAATCCGAGAATAAGTCCTAAGTGATTTGTTTTTCATAGTGCATCTAGTTATTTGCATAACACACGAAAATAAACGCTTCGTCATTTTGTTTTTTTGACTGAAGAACATAGATCACAGAGAGAGTGGGATGCTGAGTGTAGACAAGATGAATTGGACGAATGAAAATTTCTTTCATGCATTCAAGTTTTTTTATTACCACGCCATCACGACACTTTCCAATCGTTTTCAACTGTATCTTTAGGTGGTACCCATCTTATATTTAAAAGACGAAACCAATAAAGAGATTTATTTCACACAAAGAGTGTAGTTGTGGAATGATGTCGAAAGAAATACCGGCACCCACACAATTATCTGCTTCCACACTTGCATTCATGCCCTCAAATGACACATACGCTGACTCGCTAACACTCCGCACTGTTACAAAATAAGCTCATGGCACGCACCCACTCAAAAACAATCGGTCAAGAAATATCAGACGGAGCTGGTCACTAACCGTTCTAAAAATATCTCTAGACCAGTAAAAAACTGACGAGTACATAAAGTTGTTCATGTGGCAAAATTGATATTAGGGCGAAAGGACGGGGGTGGATATTCTAGCAAAATAGACCCTATTTGAAAATTTTCAGAAAACTTCTACTAATTTTATATGGTGAGAAAGATAATAAATTCTAGTATTCATCTGTATAAATTTTTTTCCCAAGGTATTACTTTTTACTAATAATTTGGCATATATATAGTTATGGGTATATCAGCCGTAGTAGATAGAGGGGCTTAAGGGCATATAGCACTACAAAACACACCAAAGAAATTACTGTTATATATCAGTCGATGCGCCAGAAAATGCTTAACAAAACTGTATAAAAATATATATGGTTCATCTATAATATACAGTACTTTTGATACAGATATCTGTAAAATCTATACACAGATGACAACGGATTCTTGGCTTGTATACCGTTTTCTCTATTATTCGACTACACTTCGTCGTCACTTTTTTTGCGCAAATGGTCCATATTGTAGGCTACAAAATCGTAAGAACATAGAGCTTTCAAATGCTGGCAAAGTACCTTCAATTATTACTCTATTAACCTAGTTATAATATCAAGTGTATACAATCCGTATTGGAAGTACTAATACTCTAGAAACAGGGTTTTCTTCCATTAAAGTTCAATTCTGGTGTTTATATGAGAGAACAGGTTTTGTCTCGATCTATGAAAGATATTAATATTCGAGGTTCTTAAAGTCTGCATTATTAGCTCGAAGGTAACTTAGGTAATTAGGGTGTGGGTGTGGGTGTGAGATGTAACTTTTGGTAAGCAGAAGACGCACACCCACACCCACAACCTCTTACAAAGGGTTTTGTTTTGGTCATGTTATTGAAAAATACACTTCAAAAAGCGTTGATCTTGTTACATTGGTACCTAGTTCATGCACTTGCAGATCATACTGAGACCGAATTTGCAAAAGAACAGTTAAAAAAGAAGACATGAACAGAAATCAGTGTTGCACAAAACAATACCAAGAGATAATGTTTTTTATTTGAAAATGATAAAAAGGCGTCAAATTGAAATAATCACTGATTACTGATCAAACATCAACAACTTGATAATTTGTTTCTTTTTTTTCGCACTAACAAGTTAAATATTCTCATTTAGTGTATCATTTAGTGCGACAAATTTAGTTGTCAATACTTCAAATTCGTAATTTTAGGGTTTTGCAAATTCCTTATAATGGGACATAGTGCAGCAATAGACATCTTGATCTTTATTGATTGATTAAAATTTCAAAAAGAGCTAAAAGATTTGGTTTCACAATTCTGATAGAGCATTAAATGAGGCATCTCTTGAAAAAAAATCAGCCTTCTATCATGTATCTGAACGGAAATACATGTACAATAAAGAAATGTCGCAAAAACTGTTGCCATACCCGATATAACTATATTATGTCTTACATAGAGTTATCACATTACATCTTTGAGATAATAAAATGGATGATTATGAAATATAATATTTGTTCAATGTAGGATAAAATCATAACACAGTAAATCTCTTTTCTCTAAATTTTCCTAAGAGTATATTTTGTTATCCCGGAGTAATCTCATGATAAGGACCAGACAATTCGCAAGAAATCCCCTCATGATTTGTAAAGAAACATTAAATGCATTTATCAATAAAATAATATTTAATCAATTACATGAATGTACCATGGTTTATTTTTTATTTGTAATTATATTTATACATCTGTGTATTGATGCAAGAAAAACAAAGACAAATACTTTCATCGCCACATTGGAACGATATAAAAAAAACAAAAGATATAACCTTAACTGTCAAAGGAGCAACATAAATCGCATGACCATATTTCGAATCATAATTTTCGACTGGGAAAAAGTCAGGTGATAAAAACAACAGACGAAACGTGTTAAAACGTGTACATATAGAAATTGCGTAGTTTATTGTCTCCGGTACAAAAACGAAACAAGACAACAATTGTAATCGGTTGAATTCCTTTTTTTGTTTGCTGCCAACTACTTTTAATTTATTCTTCAAAATCATCATGAAATTTTAATGTATCTAATGTTGCCAATGGTGCACCATCATGATATAAAAGAAAATTAAAATCAGTATGGTTTAGAGTTTTTTCAGAAATAACTAGCTGCTGTTGAAGCCCAAGATTTTCCAATTTGAACATAAGATGATTTTGGCACCCAAATTAAAAACAAGTGACCCTCATCTGTGTGACTTGCTATACCCTCGACTAAATATTCAACTGTTTAGGTACTGTGTACTGCTTCGTAGTCCTCAACAAAACTAGTATTGATCATTTAAAAGGCTGTGTGTGAATGTGAATATTGACATTTACATCAATGTTCCTGTATACGATGACATGCGTGTTTGTGTGATATGTTTTCTTATACATTCATCCAATCAAATTGAAACGCACACACTAATATCAAACGGAATTCTAAATGAACAAAACTAAGACAGCAGTATCCACATGCCTCGAGAACAAAGATTGCATTCAATATAAAATTATAGAGAGACGATCAACAAAGAAAGCACATCCGCAACACTAGTGTGAAAAAACACCTTACTTCTTGAAAACTAATGAAAATCCGTATGATTACCAGCGCTTCAAGCGTCAATATCATTTGCTAGTATCCACTACAAAACTACGTGCTTACCTGAACTTTTAGATTAAAATAAATCATATTTAATCAGACTTATTCTCAAAATACGCCACTTGAATGACGTTCGTACTCAAAGTAGTCATCGAATGAGACAGATAATTTCAAAATACTCGAATAAATTTAGGCGAGTAAATGCACACAGACATGGATACATAATGACAGAAAAGGTTATTTTATTTCACTCAAATCTACGTCAAATGGACTGAACTGAATTCTTTGCATGAGATTTTCCATGGAATTTTCTATTCAAATACTGTGCACGTGCAACACAACTGTTCTCATACTTCATTCGAAAATACTTGTAAGCGTTTTCTGCTAGTTCTGACTCCTATTGAACTTGCCAGATCTAAACCGTAGACATTTTTCCGATGGATTACGACAACCTGAATTACTTCTTTAGAGAATTTCCCAGAGCAGTGGCTAGTCACTCGTTGGTGGCTCTTTGGGGCGCCACTCGCGGCTAGCCGGTGCCATGCTTAGTTATATTCCAGCTAGGGATACACCAATTCCGGTTTTAACCAATACCGGTTCCGGTTTTAGAACCGAAACCGATGGAACCGATTGGAACCGATAAGAATCGGTTGATACCATGCACAGAGAAATAGGAAAAGCGAAAAATTCAATGATGATTAATTGAAAGGATAGTGGTTGTGTTTTCTCTCTCTATAACGAGGATCGGAATTTTTAGTACAAACTCCTACGGTTAAAATCTTTGTTGTATGCAATTGTTGAATAGCACTCTATTAGTGGCAATATCCTGAACGAACCTTGTATCTGACTAGGGATGCAAACATGACGATTATTCAGCGGCATACCGTCACCGCTTCATCGGTCCAAATCGATAACCGTAGGCATAGTTACCGGTCCAACTACGGTAACCGTACCTACCGTTACCGGTTTTCACGAAGGAAACGACTATATCTGAAAATAATGATTTGTATAAAGGTTGACAATAGGGAATCGGAGTCGGAGAACCCGAATCTGAAATCAGTTTTTGAAATTTTGAGTTTGGATTTCCCAGCAAAAAAATCTCTTACTGAAAGTCGTTAGAATTATAAGACGAGAAATCTCCATGGGAAATTCCAAAACCGAAACTTTGTTGTGAACTACTCCTTGTGTATTTTGAATGTCATTACATAGCTAGCCAATCAGAGGTTTGCTTAAAATTGTCATTTAGGAAATCTTAGTGTACGGTTCTCCAAAAAAAACCTAGCCTTT